AAAAAAAAAAAAAAAAAAAAAAAAAAAAAAAAAAAAAAAAAAAAAAAAAGCAGAGGTTCCAAATGTCGGCGGAGCTGCTGAACTGACATTTTCCACGGACAAAAATATTTTTAACACATACTGTTTTTAGAACAATGGATCGTACCAAGGACAGCTGTAAGATATGAACCTGGGCCAATGTCTTTTGATTTATATTTACCAGAAAAGCATTTTCAACATGCTGTGAACAAACTAATAATATGCATACATAATTAATTTACATTCTTGTTATTATCTTATACTACGAAGTTTGTTGTCAACACTAGTAAAGTAATGTGAGGATAAAGACACTTCATTTAAAAAAAAACACACAAAACAATTGGTTTGGATCAAAAAGGATTTTTTAAAAATACTTTTATTTTCTGAATTTATTTGAATATGCAAATGTAGCATGCATGACTATCTTAATAAATGTAGTATGTAACTGGTCTATTTTACCTGTCTTTTAGCTTCACTTTCAGACTTGACTTCCAATGTCACCCTTCTAATCAGAGGGAGGCAATTCCAACATCATGGCATTTGTGAACTGAAGAAGTGGTTTAAATAGAGCAACTAGAAGCAATCTTCCTTCTCCAAGTTGTGGTGCATCTGAGTGCATGGATATAACTTAATAAGATGTATTCAGGCAAGAAAATCTTGAAACATGATTGCACACAGTTGCTTAAGATTGTAATTAAGGATTCGCCTTTCCTTTGTTCTCCTTCCCCCAATCCCTAATTCATCTTTTACAAGTTAATCAAAATAAGACTCTTTGCACTGATCCTTAGAGGACAAGGTTCAAGGACAGATTATCTTTTTTCTTCATCATGAAATATCGCAAACACCTCTACTTTGTCTTCTTTCAAATTCATATGGAGATCTAACCAGTACTTGGAAAACTTATCTTTTTTTACTTAATTCAGTAGTAATGATTTCAATGGTGGAAACAGAACATTTGAGAACAGAAGCAAAAATCTTTTTTTGGGAATAGGGTGATATAAAAAAAGGATCTACAGGGGGTCATGACCTTCATAAACTTTACCTAACATCTTCAGACTTTTTTTTTTTTTTTTGCTCTTCAGGTTCAACTAAATAGGTTTGTGATCATTTAAAATCTTTATTAAGGAAGGACTCTTTATTATTAATTTTGATTCTGATCCAGATATTACTAATGGAGAATTGGAGCAGTCAATTATCATCCAATTAAAAAGCTTGTAGACCTTCACACAGTATTTCATGATGTTCTTCCTAACTGAACAGACCTCTCTCAAGGATGCGCTTTATGTTCCAAAAGTCTAGTCTCAAGCAAAACCCTTCATTAAACTGTTTGTCAATTAAAACATTTGAACTTATTTTTACTATGGTAAAAATAGGATAGATATTTTTGTCTTAATTTTTTTTCTAAATGCTTATGTTGTCATATCAAAAGAAAATATATTAAACCCTTTGACTTTCATGAGAGCAAAACAGTGACTCCAAGCAAAATGTGTGACTAAGCAGACCAATTTAATTTCATTGCACAGGCAGAATGAAATATAAAGAAGCAATTATCCTTAGTCACTTTTGGCAATCTACCATTTTTAGTAACATAAGCAAATGTATATTTTTTCAATACAATTTGTTCTTGACCATCTTGATTGTGGGGTTTTGCCAATGAGTCAGTCCATTCCAGTGCATTGACTGGATCATTTTGGCAGTAATCCATACCTACAGTGATGTGGTATTTCTTTCTAATATGTTTTGTAGTGCATTTACTTGTCTTGAGAGGTATGGCTGTACTCTTTCCAGAGGAAAGCCGATGATTTCTACAAACAAACCTCAGACCATACTAGGCTTTCTCTTAGCCAGGCTCTGTAAGGACTGACTGCAGGCATCAAAGGATGCATTGGCACTGGCACCTTTCCCAATTTTTTCACTTCTGAGAGTATCAAGGATGCCTCTTCACAGTAGTTGCTGTGTTGCAAGTTATGTTGCTGTTCTGTATAGCTGATCCATAGGCAGATTTACGACCACAAAACCTGTCTCGACACTTACACTCAAATGCTTCTTAGACACTGAGTGCTTTGGTAACCACTGCTTATAGAGGATTTTGACCTGAAGCAGAAAACAAAAAAGTTTTGTGGCTGTACTCAGTCCCCTGAGCCTCTGACTGTCTCTTGACATTACCATTTCTATCTCTACACTCATTATATACATTCTGAAAAGGAGCAATATCTGGTAACTGCTACCTGGGTTCTGGTTACTCACTGTGTGGGAAGAAACAACTTCCATTATGCACTCAGAAACAGCTTGCAGAGTTCCTTCCATATGAAAATGTATTACTCTCAGAGGCAAAATGCTAACTTTTCCTTACTTTTCTTAAAAAGTTATATGTATATTAGTCTTTCATGATGCAAATAGGAGAGCTTGCATTTTAGGATTTTTTTTTTTAAGAAAACACTTCTTAACACTATAAGCACATGGTTTCCCAGTACAAGTGCTAAGACTTCTGTAAGTTACTCTTATGTAAGGGCTTCAACCATCCAGATAATATTATTTACAGGTGGCTACAATTCTGATTCCAGTATAGAACTGAGCATTGTTTTTCTGTAGTTTTCTTTTTTTCTCATTTCTACAACTAGCAGAAGACAAAACAAAAGGCCATTTGAAACTGAAGACACGCACTGCCTTTAACAAGATACTCAACACAGGAATGTCTCTGCCTTCCATGTCCTTACAGTCATGGCTTGATTACCTATTTAAACTGATTTTTGAGACAATTACATTGTTGTCTATATTCCAGGAGTTTTTTCCACCCCACATGAAAACACAGTAATATGGGGACCTGCTTAATAACAAGATTGACAACCTGCTTTTTAGAATATATTTGGCAGAATATCCTCTGAAGATATGGCAGTCAAAAAGACGTAATAATATGAACTAAAGTATAGTAAATAATAGTGGTGATTCAACTGGGCAATTTATGAGGTCTCTTTGTATATCCACAACCCCCTATTCTGCTCAAGAGGTGTTACCTTATCAATTCAACATTGCCATCATGGCTCCATCTGTTATTCTTTGATTCCTCTGTATGTTCCCTTGAGTTTCCACAATCTTTTGATGACATATTTGGTCCACATATACTGGCAAATCTGAGTAACTGATAGATTTGCAAGAATAGTACTCTTCAAAAGTAAATCTAGTTAATCTAGGGCAAAGTAACTGTAAAAGTCAAGTTACTGTTGCGTAAGATAATAATTGTGAATGCAGTTAAAAATGGAGTTTACGTTGTCAGGAAGAACAGAGAAAAGCAACAGAGGGAGTTGTAGGAAAGGAACTTGTAAAGTTAAGAAACTGTAAATAGAAAATAGGCTTGTTTAATCATAGGGAAGCTGCAAAATTAAAAGATTTTGCCATTGAGTGTAATTTATTAGTCACACAGCAGTAAGAACAGCACCAGAATAAATCAGTTGAAAAACAACTGCATGGAAAGAATTTTGAAAATGTCACAAGACAATGGTAGCAAGTGGCAGGTAGGCTGTCAGAAGACTGAGAATAGAAATGGAGAATTTCATTAAGGCAGGAATGGGCTATTTGTACAAGCAAGGATAGATAGCTTTAAAAAACCCTAAGACCAGAATGGAGGCTGTGTGGCCAGGCTCCAGATACTATTCATCATATTATAAGTGGATGTACCAAGCTGACCAGCACTGAGATAGGGTATAGCATGACAAAGCTAGCAGTGTGGTGAAGTGAGAGCTCTACAAGAAGTATGGATTACCAATAGGGGAATAAAAAAAA